CATAAAGTGGTGCTACTATTATTAATGTAAGTTCCCTATTTCTATACTTAAATATCATTTATTATTTTTCTTTAATCACAAATTAAGATTATTTATATTCATTTGAACAGCCTGGAATGCCTAGTGAAAGATTTAGAAATGTGAAGTCTTCAATAGTTGTCACTGGAGATCTTGGGCATAAACCAACTTGTGGTGTGAAATGGAAGAGAAAACAATCTATGACCTCAAGCCAACTTGAAGAGATGAGGGGAAGAAAACAAATGGAGACTAGGTCTAAGGCTGCACATTTGAGCCAAAAGAGCTCTAATGCAATCTAACTTGTTTTGGTAGATTTTTGTTGGTAATGCAATGTAGACATTATGTTTTGTTGGGTGATAGACAATGCAATGCACTTTATCCCTATTTAGTTCCCTTATATTTAAGACAATGAATTGACAGATGTGACTGCATTTTGATTTGTGGTGTTTGATTATGTAACTGCTTTGACAGCTATTAACTTCTATTTTGATTAATGATTATGTAGTTATGGATGTCTGTTTATGTAACAATGTTGCTTCTCTTTTAGTTGATGGTTTCTGTGTTTATGGAGGGCAATTAGTGACTACTTTAGCGGTGGCTACACAAACGTATAGTTTAGACAGTTGAGCAGATAGTTGTAGACACTAAATGTATAGTTTATGCCCAAATACAAAACCAAATACTTGCCAACATAAATGAGACAAATTAAGATAAGGGAAGCCTTGCAAATTCTTTTCATTACACAAAAGCCTTACAAGTTCAACACAATATTACAAATTTTTTGTACAAGAAGAGATCATGACAATTTCCTTGAATCTCCTTCTCCTTTCAGAAACAATACTCTTTGAAATACTAAACTTACACCTAAAATACAAACACACAACAAAGCAATCCAAAGTTGTTTCTCCCTTTTCTTGGACTTGGTCAATTTGTTTTTCCATTTCTTTTCAACTGCTTTCATCTTCATCAAATCATCATCAAAATTGTCCAATTTTTACTCTTTCTTGTTCATATCTATTTTGCTTTCCATAGATTTGGTCGACTTAGTAGGCTTGTTGATTTCCTTATCTGAAGTTTCAACTTTTCGAGAAGATTCAACATTATGTTCAAGCTCAGCAATTCTTCCCAACAACTTGGGGAATCACAAATTTGGATCTTGGATCAATATAATCATTTTTTCAAAGCCAAAAATCGCATGATCTAGTTTTCTTAAAAAACAAAACGAATCATTGTCATGGCTCTTGTAACAACAAAATGAATCATTCAACTCTTAAAAAAGATTAACTTACCCCATAGTAAGGACAACCCCAATATCTTCTACCAGAATTTCTCGGGGTCCAAGAGGTCAGCAAAGGCAAAACAAATCCATGTTTGCATCGCACCTCTTCCAATTCATGATCTTCCTCTTGCAAACAAAGCCTAGTCAAGCTTATTCGAGCCATTGTAGCACCTTAATAAAGATTAACGCGAATCAAACAACTAAAAATTCAAAAAATGAAATAGATAGAAACAAATCAAAATGAAAAAGAGAGGAATGAATCAAAATGGAAAAGAGATGAATGAATAATAATGAAAAAGAGTTACCTTTGATTCAAAAGAAGGAATTTTGAACTATGTTTGAATTTAGGGTTCTTGATTCAGATTTTTGGGTGAAAATTTAGGGTTCTTGTTCATTAGGGTCGGGTGGGTGGGTTATATGAAGAGAATGGGAATATAACCGTTGAGTTGGATTTTTTAAATTAAAATAATAAATAAAAATGACTTTATTAGCGTGTTGACGCGCTCAACTATGTGGAGCGAAATGCGCCCTGGGTTGAGTGACGAAAGGAGGAAATAAATATATTTTTATGTACTTAAGGTGTGTAATAGGTCGCCCCATTAGTTAAAGTGTGTAAATGACTTTTGGGTACAAGTTTAGAGGGGAATTTATGCCTTTTCCCTTCTTTCATATGAAAAAGAGTAATTAATTACTTTTCATAATATAGTTATATGGAAAAAGGTCTGGTATATCTCTCAATTTTATCATTTAAAGCTGATATATTTCTTGTTATGAAAGTGACTTATATATACGCCTATTGTTATACAAATGACACACATATATTATTCTCCTCTAATGGAAGTGAAATAAATAATTTTAATTTAATTTTTTAATTATTTTTTCTTAAAAAAATATAATCCATATGGGTATATTTAATCCACCCTCACATGTTTTTTTTTTATACTTTTTTTTGTTTTAACGACTAATTTAAATTTATTGTTTTGATGGTCAAACTTATTTTTGTTTCTGTAATTATCTTGTAAAATTATCATAGATGATCCGATTTTTTTTTCAAATACAAAAATTAAATTACAATATAGCTGGAAAATATAGTTTAAATTATAATATAGCCAAAACAAAATAATTTTAAGTTTTTTTCTTTTCACTAAAGAATGAAGGAAAAAGATAAAATAAGAATAAGAAACTCAAATAATTATATTCAAAGAAGTCAAAATAAAATTTATATATGAAAAAGATTAAAATATAACTTGAACTTTGCTAGAAGGATAATATATACCCCTACATGAATCTTTTTAAAATTAAAAGTAAAAATTATAAATTGAAAACTATTTTTTTCACTTCCGTAAATGAAGGGTATATGTGAGCTTAATTTGTAACGGTAGGGGTATATGTAAGCCGTTTGTATAACGGTAAAGGTATATATGAGCCACTTTCATAACGATGGACATATAAGTTCTAATTGGCAAATTTGAGGGGTATATAAATCAGACGCATTTCCCTTGTTAAATTACTCCTTTCGTCCAATAATAGTTGTCCACTATATTATTTTAAGATGTATAACAATACTTATACACTTTGTGAAATCAATGAATAATTCTACACTTAGTTCCTAGTTTACTCTTATTATTAATTATAATTATTTTTCTATTGCATTTTTTAAGATATCGTATTAATTATATTTAAAGAGTGATATAGTAAAATTATTTTTCTATGTATAGATTCTTAAGAAGTGTGTAAAGTCAATACTAGTAGTAGATAATATTATTGGACAGAGAGTATAAAAAAGAATTCTTATGACAAAATGGATTAAGACAGAAATTAATTACGTAATAGTTCAATTATTCGGCGGATGTGTTGTAAATGCTTCATCTTATTACTCTGTATTTTTTAATGTATTTTTTGGGCTACAAATTTAACAAGTAGAATATAGTTGTTTCATATATATAGTGGAAGACACCTTTCTTGTTTTCTGCCATTATGTAAATTCTTTAACGTTATTTTTGTTATGTATATTAATTCTTAGCCTACAATCAAGAATATATCATTGTGACCAACGAGGATTGTTTTGGAGTGAGAAATATTTTTTCATTCTTAATTAAAAAATTTGAACTCGAATCCCCTTGAATATGTCATATTTGTTAGGAAGTATTTTCCTGACATGTATTCAGATTTAGTCATGCTTTAATACGGATAGCGAACATTGAGTAAGAAGTCAAATAAAAAAAACATTATTGTGCATAGTGGAAGACACCTTTCTTGATCTTTGTATATATCGTCATAGTGGCACTAAGTTTTAGTCACCAAATCTACTAGGAATACTTCTTTTTAAGTCTTATAATATACTAATGAACTTCTATCATCCTTGATCTAAAACACTTAAAAATCATGCAAATCTAGAACTGAGACAAAATACTGATCAATTATTTTTTCCCAATTTAGCCATAGGTAAGACTGACACACAGTGAACAAGAGACATTTCTGGTCATTCATGAAACCTAGATATGTACCTGTGCCGCTTGAATCCAAAACCTTTAGAATATGTTTTGATATTAGATAACATAATGCGGATTCGAAATCTTAGAAGAAAAGAATTAAATTCACATGTGATATAATATATAGTTATGTTCCCTCTTTAGACAAAGAATCTCTGTGATAAAACGATGCATATTTACTTTTTACTACACAAAAACTATGTACGTTTTTTCCCCTATATAATATCACTCAACTTGGTAAGTGATTCATTAGCAACTGAACAAACCCTTAAAAGTTGGTTTTAATTTGAAAAAACGACAAACATTCCTACAATATTTACTATTTTCTCCCTTTTAGTTTGAAATAATTACATATTATTTCACTAATTCATAATTTCATACCATATTTCAAGTTAGATGCACCTAGATATATAATGGAGAGAGGCGAGCGAGATAGGTGGGAAACAAATGAATTCACTGGTACATACGAAACACACTAGATACATGTTTCTGAGATACTTGATATAGGGAAAGAGGCAAACGAGATAGGAGAGAGTTGGACACAAGAGAATCCACTTGAATACAATGTATCTAAAATAAATTACACCAATTTTGACCTCATGTATCCGATATACATGTATCTAAACATATCTCTGGACCTGAACATGCCAAATACATGTATCCAAAGACCAAATCCGGTAAGCTTCGTCACATTACAAACTAGAGAAAAAATCTAACTAATTAACTCCTAAACTAATGAAATTTCTATAAGTTACCCTTTTTAATTTTCATTTTGATACTTTAACTTGGGTCAATATCTATTGAACACTCCAACAGGACCAACACCATAGAAATGTGTCTATGAAACACCACATTCTAACGTGACACAGAAAGTAATTCCGTTGTTGTTAAGTGCGTGGATCACTTATATAACCATGAAAGAATCATTTGGTTCAGTATAGTAAAAGGTAGAAGTGAATAGTTAATTAACTCGATATGATAAATTACATCCTTTTTATCATTTTTAATATACAATAATAAGAATATATTTTTTTTGAAGTACGAAGATAATGTAAGAAGAGAGGATAAATAAAATTCTTCTGAGTAGTAGTTTTCCACTGCAATATAGTTTTGATCTTTGTACCACGTCCCTAAACCTATTCAAACTCATTGCATCTTCACACTTTGGTATGGAAATCGATTGCTGTTGACATGAAAGTGACCAGAAATAGTTGATCCAAAGCCTAAAAAATTGTCCAACTACCATCCCCATTAAGGACTGTTTACAACATAAAAATTATTAACAGGTGAGGACACCACAGAAAGTAAAGAAAACGTTCATGCACACCGCAGGGACTCTTCTATTTGCTATAGTCAATGTATAAATTATGTAGGAGGCTACTAATTGATATGTACAAATTGACTTAAATGGGTGAGAAAGTAAAAAAAAAAAGAAGTAAGCTAAGCAGAGAGAAGATTGAATAAATGATATTTACAAAATAGAAAAACAAAGAATGAAGATATTTACATCTTCTGTTTACCTTTGTATGGAATTTTCTCCAAAGCTTTCGTTCAATATGTTGATTTTTCTCGACTTTCCACCACTCTGTGCTGATGCAGCTCAATAAATAAGTAACATGCAACCTCCGTGAGCCCGATCAGCTCTTCAGAGAGGTTGACAGCAACTAATCAGAAGATGTCAACAGCAACCTCAGTGAGCAGAGATGTAGACTGGGACCAGAAGAGATGTCAACAATCCATCCGCCACTGACCATCTCAAAGGAACACAGCCAAGTCCCAAAAATCTTGTTTCTCAATCTGAGAATTTGTGACGAAGCTATGAAGTTGTTATGTTGGTGGGGAAATTTCATCAGCATAGATAGAAATACAAGCATCTGTTGCACCAGCAGCAAGCAGCACTTGATAGGGATGGAAGGTAAGACATCTTACAGATCCTATCTTCTGAGCCATGAAGGTGGACAAATATCTAATGGTGCCTAACTGCTGACCCTCCAGGTTGAACACTTTGATAAGTTGCTTTGATGAACCACTTGCTATAAGGGGTGCATGACGATGTACCGCCAGAGATGTAAGTGATCCCCTGTGAGCATCAATGGTCAAGTAAGCCTCCTTGAGGTTTCTCATATCGAGGAACTGAATATCACCAGCCTGAGATGCACTGACAACCTGAGAAGAAACAAGTGAAACAGTTCATGAATTCTCATTTTGCTTTGATAATATTGGAGAACATTTTATCTGCAAAAAAATTGTTAGTAGAAATAATTATTGGAACAACTAATATAAAAGAGAGCGACAGTGAGTATATACTCTTTTTTTTTTCTTTTCAAAATATGGTCTTCTGAGAAACCAGGAACTGACAAGTTGACACTTGACAGGCCAGATATAAACAGGGCAATAGTAGTCACCTTTGCTGGTTGAAGTCCAGGTTGAAAGCAAACCCCAACAACCCTTTCAACTTTGGGATGAGGTCGTGTTGAACAAACAAGCCTAAACAAACACATATTAAACAGTCAAAAAACTACTGAAAGATGGATGTATTATGCACCAAAAAATGTATGCATGTGTACGTAATGCCTAATGTATGAGACTAACCATGCAGGACGGATACCCATCTTTGAGGTTTGAAATTACCCACACACTTCATAATGCGAAGGTAAACATCATCATCCTGAAATCTATAAATCAGTGACTCCAGGAGACATGATTCCTACACCCCAACCCCACTCAAAAAGAAAACCAAAGACTTGTGGTCTAAGTTACATTATGCAATTTCACTCTACCAATTGCCCAATTGTACTTGAAATGCGCATACAAGTGTGTATGCAAGTATGCACACACATTTATGCTCGTGAATTACAAGCATTACATCTTACATTTCTGGCATTCGAATATCAAATAATTTGACAGATCCATCCACGAAGCCCGCACCAAATTGACCCACGTGAACTTCAGAAGCAGACTGCACAAGGCACAAAAAAGTTTAGACGCCATCACAAAGATAAGTGGCATGGTTAGAGCATTCAGCAAAAAGCACAACATATACAACAACAACATACCCAGTGTATTCCCACAAGTAGGGTCTGGGGAGGATAGAGAGTACGCACACTTACCCCATACCTCGTGGAGATAGAGAGGTTGTTTCAAAACATATACGTGTGATAAAATTGTTTCAAATGTCAACAGAACTCTAATTTTTTGGTGTAGAACCCGAGGATAGCAGAAAAAAGGGGATAACATAAAGACGAACAAAAGGATCCAAGAATAAGTACAGCCAAAAAAGACAGTCCAGCCTTAGTTTAATAAAAAAGAAGTATCTATCTCCTCCTTCTCCACCCAATGCAAGGCCTTACAAATATATCTTCGACAATGTAAGCTGGTGGTTTTAAATAGGTTCAGGTAGGTGAGCATGCACTCCTTAGATGAGTGTTTTTCTTTCTGATGAAGGTAACAAATTTGATATCATCAACAGTAAGGGTAGGCATTCGGTTCTTCAAAACTTCAGTTCGATTCATAGGTTTTCGGGTTCTTCACTGGTGCATACTGAATACCAACCAACAACAACATACCCAGAGAAATCCTACAAGTGAGGGTCTAGGGAGGGTAGAATGATTTTATTGTTGTTTCTAAAAGACCCTCGGCTCAAGTGAAACAAACTCCGGTATAAAGAAGGAGACAATGAATAGAATGTAGTAAATAACAGGGAAACAGTGCAAAAATCTACTAGAGGAGCAGAACAACAATAAAATCATGTGATAATCGAGACACCATAATCAACATACTAGACTAATAATAAATAATGAAAATAAAATAAAAAAACAAGAACTACCAGAATACAACTAGTACCATCGCAAACACCAGACACCACTACACTACCTACTAACCTTCTATCCTAATATGTGGCCTCCACACCCTCGTATCTAAGGTCATGTCCTCGGTAATCTGAAGTTGCGTCATATCCTGTCTTATGACATCTCCCCAATACTTCTTCGGCCTACCTCTCCCTCTCCTCGTACCTTCTATAACCAACCTCTCGCACCTCCTCACCAGTGCATCTATGCATCTCCTCTTCACATGTCCAAACCATCTTAATCTCGCTTCCCTCATCTTATCTACCACAGAGGCCACTCCCACCTTACCCCAGATATCCTTATTTCTAATCTTATCCGACCAAACCGAAATTAGTTTGGTTCTTCGGTATGAGCCCGGTAAAATGGGTTATTTTTCTGCTGGTAAAATGGTCTATTTCTGATTCAAAATGGACTTTTTTTTTCTGTTATTCCTTTAAAAATAAACCATTATCTGTAATGAGAATTTTTTTTAATAGTGATTAACTGAAGGATGACAAAAACTGCAAATACATCAAACCAGTATCAACTGAAAAGTGCTTCCAATTCAGCAAATCTAAGCGAATATGAACCCTTGGAGTTTGTTGCATTCAAATATCTGGTTCAAGGTTTGATAGGAACAAAAAATATTTGGGTACACTTTTATGCATAAAGCAATTAACCATATGCCACTTTTGGAAAATACACTTCAGAAAATTTCAGTCCCGCACTTGCTTCGTGGACTGCAACTAGCTATATGTAAGGGTTTTGATCTTTAAAATGTGGATTTGCAGCAAACATGACCGGACCAAAGAATTCATGTAATAAATATTTTGGTGACCCTAAAATCGAATACTGAGGTTTTGGAGAAAAAAAACCGAGAGTGACCTGAAGAACCAAAACCGAAGTTATTTGGTTCAGTCTGATTTTTAAGTTATTATTCCCACCCCTAATCATCACAGAGGCTGCGCTGGAGCCATATTAGCAGTATAAAAACGCAAAATAATATGTCCTTGTTCTTTTTACAAGGATTCTATAATATCCAATAGAAAATCCGAATCATCTAAGAATTCCTCCTTACACCAAAAATGAAATAAAAGTAGTAAACTAATATTGAACTTCCAGATTGAGCTGCATTTGTCTTCAATACATCTTCAATGTTGTATAAATTGGCAGCAGAAAGGCTATACTGGTAGCCATATTTACAGATGCTAATAGACAAAAAACTGCTCTTGCTCATCTTACAAGGAGCCTAAGTGAAATAACTATATTTAGTTCACCTTTAACCTCTGAATTGAGTTGCATCCATCTTCAAAACACCTTGCATTCCTTTCCTTCCAAGAAATCCACCACACACGAGTTGGGATCATGTTCTACCATTTCTTGTCAAACACTGCCTCCCTCATTATTCCAGCACTTGAAAAGATCACTTGAAGACTCATGTATAATCCATCTGAGTCCATTCATACTAAGAAATAGTTGCCACAGCTGAACAGTAACAGTGCAAGAACAGGTCACTGTTCTCTAAATCTGCATAGCATAAGTAACATCTGGAACTCATTTGGATTACTCTTATCTGCAAGTTTTCTTGAGTTGGGCAAGCCTGCCTTGCCACCAACCATAAAAAATAAGTCACTGAAAAAGGAATCTTACTTCCTAAATCTGCGTCTAAAACCCATTATTCCCCTGATGCCCATTACCTGAGAGTAAAGAATAAACTGACTTTACCATGAAAATCTTGCTGCTATTTCCTTTCCATATGAATGAATCTTATGTAGATGATGTACCTTGAATCAGTCACAGCTGTTCAAAAAGCTCAGTAGCTCTATCTATTTCTCATTCGTTTAGTAGTCTTCAGAAATTAAAATTCCATCCTTGTTGTCCCCTTTTCTTCAGTATTAGCTTCAGGAAAAGACACCAAATTATACAAGTCAGGAAACAGATCTATTAGAGGACCATGCCCAAGTCCAATATCACCCCAAAATGACACTATTCTGCCATTGTCAATGATGAAACCAATGTTGTCAAAGAAGTTAGGCCCTTGTGACCCGATAGTTCTCAAAATCATTCCAAAAGGAGATTTCATTATTTTGGTACACCACTGATTCTCTTGTCCATATTTAAGGCTAATCACTTGCCTCAACAAAGCTTGTTCTTTTGCAACTATATCTTCATAGCCACTTCCATAATGACTTTTGTTGTGAAATCTAATATTCTTGATGCCAAGACCACTCACTCTAGCTGGATGTGAGAGCCTTCCGTCAACCAAATGAAAACATATGGCCTCCTTATTTCCTTGCCAAATAAAATTTCGTTCAAGTCTCCTTTCCACTTTACCAGGTAAAGGGAATAAAGATATTATGTAAACCGGGATCGATCCAGCACACTGTTCACCAGGATCACTTTGCCATCAAGAGAACGATATTGACTTTTAATAATTTATAATTAAAAAAAGAGAGAGAAAGATACTAGCTTTTACATCTTGTCAATTTCTTTTTTTCTTTTTTTTTGATGACAAGGGAAACCCGTAGCCACTACCCTTTGGGTGCGCACAGGTAAAACTCCCGCTCCTATGGAATAACTAGCAAACCACATAGGAGAGGTAACCCGCACTAGGCAAAACCGGTGCGACGAGCTTGACCCAGAAGGCAATCTTGTCAATTTCTTTTTTTCTTTTTTTTTGATGACAAGGGAAACCCGTAGCCACTACCCTTTGGGTGCGCACAGGTAAAACTCCCGCTCCTATGGAATAACTAGCAAACCACATAGGAGAGGTAACCCGCACTAGGCAAAACCGGTGCGACGAGCTTGACCCAGAAGGCAATCTTGTCAATTTCTTTTCACTTCTTTCCATAACTCTTGCCATATTTTCATCATAACTTTTGACTCTTGCATTTCTTTCAAACTTATTCTGAAAAATGATTTTCTTGAACTGAGTGTCTATCGAAGACAACCTCTCTACCTCACAAATGCAAGGGTAAGGTTTGCATAGACCCCATCCTTCCCAGGCCGTATGGGACTATATTGGGTATGTTGTTGTATCTGCTTTGCTCTCAAAGCTAATCTTAGATAGGTGGTTGGAAAAGATCCAATATTTAATATTCTCAGTAGTTCCTTGACACATATGAGTTCACATGTAGTTACTGTCAAAGCCTGATATTCTACTTTTGCACTCAATCTTGCAATTACATTTTGTTTCTTACTTTTCCAAGACCAAATTTCCCCCAACTAGTACACAATATCCCAAGGTAGATTGTTTGTCATAGGATGACCTTGCACAATCCCCGTGTATCTCGAACAATTGCTCATGTCCTCGATTTTCGTGAAGTAGACATTTCTCAAGAGCAAATTTGGTGTATTAAAGGCTACGAATAATTGCATTCCAATGACTGTCACGAGGAGAATGCAAAAGTTGCCTTAACACCAACCGGAATGCAATGCCAGAATGAACCACAGTGAGATAATTCAACTTGCCTAACTATCTCCTATATTATGTAGGATCACTAAGTGGCACCTGACCTGGTAGAAGCTTAACATTTGGATTCATCGGAGTAACAATAGAGCTATAGACTGTCATCTCCGTCTTCTCAAGAATATCAAGATTATACTCTTTGTGAAATGGCAATCCAAATTGGAATTGAGCAACTTCGATGCCCAAGAAGTGCCCAATTGACCTATCAGAAAGTGCTAGAAAAGGTGATGCTTCAATTTGATAATTCACTCTTCATCATTACCCATGATGACTATATCATTAACATAAGTCACCAAATAAATGCATACACTTAGAGTAGAGTGACTATAAAACACAAAACGATCAACTTCATTGTGCATCATGCCAAATTCTTGAATAATCGCATTGAATTTTCCAAACCATGCTCAAGGATACTGCTTCAGTCATAAAATGATCATCTTAGCTTGCACACAAGTTACTAGGGGGAAGCAACAGAACTTGATGGTTGCTCTATTTATATGTCATTTGGGATATCTCAATAAAGAAAAGACATTTCTAATATCCAACTAGTAAATCCAACAATGAACAGCCACATCTAAAAAGAGATGGACTGAAGAAATCTTAGCATAGAAGAAAAGTAACCACCATAGTCGAGTCCGAAAGTCTGTGTAAGACCCTTGTAAA